TGATATTCATAATTGTAACAATATAAAGTTATCTAGGGTTACTGTGGAAGTACCTAGACTACAAAAGCATTTATCTTTTATCACAGAGCAAACATCAGTATGACCGTATCGGCATGACTTCGAAAGATGAAGCATCAATTCTTGATCCTATCCCATCTACTTTACGAGACGCGCGACTGGTCCAAGCACAACGAAAACCAACCAAGAAAGAACACATAACCAGGCAGGTGCAGAGCACGCACCGCCTGTCAGAATGGCCGTATCGGCGCTACCAGCTTTAATAACGGATGCGACTTGAAAATAATTAGAGGCTGCCATCAATTCTTATTAAACCTCATTAGTATTTGATTATTGTTAAAAGTAAAACGAAATCAAAAGAGAATAGAATTATGTTTAAATCAAAAATATGACGTCTGGACTCACGACGGCGGACTCCAGTATTGAGAATTCAGCATTCGTAATTCAGAGTTCAGTGAGTGTGTATCATTGAAGTATGTAATTGTGAGGAACCTTCTAGAAATACAGGATCATTAAGAACAATTGCAGTTTCATTTTAAAATATCATGCAACGCTCTAGAAGAAGTGACATTTGTAACCTCAGCAAGGCTGGCGTCCCTCTCTTTAAAAACAACGAATCTGTAATAAATCCGATATATATATATTAATTATATTTTTCAGTTTTGTCAATGAAGAAGGCTTCACACATCAAATGTACGCCATGTACTCCACGCCGACATGCTACCTGCAGACGACGCACCAGGAGAAGTAATGACAAGTTCTCTTCTTGGTAACAGTTTCGTTATATGTTATACAATTTAAAATGAACCACACATTACAATATTTGGAGTTTATATTAATATACATAAATATATGTAATTATATTTTTCAGTTTTGTCAATGAAGAAGGCTTCAAACATCAAATGTACGCCATGTACTCCACGCCGACATGCTACCTGCAGACGACGCACCGGGAGAAGTAATGACAAGTTGTCTTCTTGGTAAGAGTTTCGTTATATGTTATACAATTTAAAATGAACCACACATTACAATATTTGGAGTTTATATTAATATACATAAATATATGTAATTATATTTTTCAGTTTTGTCAATGAAGAAGGCTTCAAACATCAAATGTACGCCATGTACTCCACGCCGACATGCTACCTGCAGACGACGCACCAGGAGAAGTAATGACAAGTTGTCTTCTTGGTAACAGTTTCGTTATATGTTATACAATTTAAAATGAACCACACATTACAATATTTGGAGTTTATATTAATATACATAAATATATGTTATTATATATATATTAATTATATTTTTCAGTTTTGTCAATGAAGAAGGCCTCAAACATCAAATGTACGCCATGTACTCCACGCCGACATGCTACCTGCAGACGACGCACCAGGAGAAGTAATGACAAGTTGTCTTCTTGGTAACAGTTTCGTTATATGTTATACAATTTAAAATGAACCACACATTACAATATTTGGAGTTTATATTAATATACATAAATATATGTAATTATATTTTTCAGTTTTGTCAATGAAGAAGGCTTCAAACATCAAATGTACGCCATGTACTCCACGCCGACATGCTACCTGCAGACGACGCACCAGGAGAAGTAATGACAAGTTGTCTTCTTGGTAACAGTTTCGTTATATGTTATACAATTTAAAATGAACCACACATTACAATATTTGGAGTTTATATTAATATACATAAATATATGTTATTATATATATATTAATTATATTTTTCAGTTTTGTCAATGAAGAAGGCTTCAAACATCAAATGTACGCCATGTACTCCACGCCGACATGCTACCTGCAGACGACGCACCAGGAGAAGTAATGACAAGTTGTCTTCTTGGTAACAGTTTCGTTATATGTTATACAATTTAAAATGAACCACACATTTCAATATTTGGCATATACTCAGCATATCGTCACATGACTTGAAGTTTATATACGATCCTTTTTCTTTAATATATTGTGCAGCTAACAAATTCTTATTTATCGTTTCTGGAATACAGTTTAGTTTTACATATTCTTTATAGTTATAGTATAGTACTAAATATAGTTGGTTATAGTTACAATACTAAAGTTTAGTTTTACACATTCCTTATAGTTTTATTGGAGATTTATTTTTTCCAAAGACTTCATTTAAAAATTTGTTTATTTTGCGTACGTTTCGATAACTAGATCGTACATTGTACAAGAGTCGAAAAGGTCGGATAAATACGATTAAAATCGTACAGTTGGCAACACTGGATGAAACTGTCATATAATTACCGTGTATGAAAATAATGTACAGAAATTGCTGCCATCTAACGAACAAGGCAAAACAACTTTATAACTTCATAGATAGTATCTTAAGTAGCTCTTAAATTGATTTGACATTAAGAAATATTTTAAATTATTTCAGTTGTTCATTTGCCGTTGTTTACTGTTCTTCTTGTGCTGTACGTTCTTTTTCAAACATGTGACCCGGCTTAATATATCATTGACTCCTATTTCTACGCTTTTGACGATCGGCCCCGGCTTTTCTCAATTGGACTTTGTTTTCTGCGACTACGATCGACCCCGACTCTTCTCATTTGGATTTTGATTGCAAACTATGAATTTGGAATTTGGATTATCGATAAGTTGAAAACATGCCATGAAAATCGGCTATTAAGTATCATTTTCGGTGTGCGACTAAAGGTACGATACTTATTAAGTAAAATCTATAAATAAATAAAAATAAATAAATAAAAATAAAAATAAACTTTATTCACTAAAAAGGTTACAAATGAAACAATAAGTTGCGAGGGCCCCTGTACTAGGTACAAAACCCGTGTTACTGGGTGCCCCGCTCATCCACCAAGACAACTAGAACGTCAACAATGAACTTTGTAACACATATTTATAGAACTATCCATATAAAGCAGGGTTTACAATTTTATAAAGTAAGTAGAAAAAAAAAAGTGTGTGTGTGTGTGTGTGTGTGCGTGTGTGTGTGCTTGTGTGTGTGTATGTATGTGTGTCTGTGTGTGTGTGCGTGCGTGTGTGCGTTTAACATCATGATAACTTTAGTTTTAAATAAAACTCGGTTATGCTTGTATGTTAGATTTAAAAGAACCGTTGAATGATCAGTAGGAGCGTTATTAAGTACAATTGACTTTGCAGTTTTAGTAGTTTTGAGCATCATATGATCATAACACATTTTGTCGCGAGTAGGTATCCTATGAGCTGGTAAAATTCCGTGAAACGCGAGTGTATTTAAATAATTAGGGCAGCTAGGGTCTATACTATCATGTTTAGTGTCTATATTGGTATCGCCAGTTAGAATAATGTTCTTGAAATTATCAAATCGCTGAAGTAAAGTTTGAAGTGAAGAAATAAAGTCATCCGTATTTCTTATAGAAGGTGTACGATATATACCTATTATCACCGTATCCGGAATCGTTAGCACTAGACAAGAAGAATTTTTTATACAATGTTCCGATACGTTACAATTAAGATTCTTATTTACATTCATGATTACTCCGTCACAGCGATTTAAAATATTTTTGGTAAAATACGAGTTATAATTGCTATTAAGAGTAGGTATGGGTTTATCATTTGATAAATGACACTCTGTCATAACGAGTATATCAAATTCTATTTTCAATGATTTTAGTGTTACTTGAAAAGTGTCAAAATTTTATAAATACTCCTTATATTTTGTGTCAAGATATTGAGATGATTAGTTTGAATAATATGGGAATAACATTCGTCTGGGTTGCACGTTAATGCCTGGGCAATTTGAAAATTGTCTATATCTGTACTTGTTTGAAGCGTGTTAACCATTATTATATAAGGTTGTATTGTCAAACAATAAATAACCGTGATATAAGATTTGAGAATTTGAGGTTACAGTTAAATGATATAGCACGTATAATATAAGGAAAGTAACACAAGAAATCTAACAAAAACCAAATAACTTTCACATAATAAACTTATTAATACGAAATAGGAGTGTAGTAGTGTAGTATGAATGTGAGAACGACTTGAGTAGTTGTATGTATGGTATGTATAGTGATGCGAGTTAGTGTATATGAGTATTATGTGTAATTTTAAATATGTAGTTAAAGTTACAATTATTTTGATGTAGAAAAGTACGGTAAAGTATATAACAAGATAATTCCTTATCTGATACAGAAAGCGTAATCGATTTAAGGTCAAGAACATTATTCTTGTATAAAATGATTCTAATAAAGAACAAGTACTAAGCTTTAAGAAATATCTTACATACTGGCTGCAAAGTATCGCAGGGATACGATTTGTTACAATTGTTACGTCACATTTCATATATCGAGATAGGTTACCGTTGTATATACCACAAACATAGAAACATATACCATGAACATAAACAAAATTATTATGTAAGAATAGCAGTAGATACAATTGTTTGGTAATAATACAAGTGTTGTAATATATTTCTCTCGTGTTTAGAAAGTTATTTTTGTGTTGAATTCTTAATATAGCAGGGATACGATTAGTTACAATTGTTACATCATATTTCATATATCGAGATGGGTATCCATTGTATATACCACAAACATAGAAACATATACCATGAACATAAACAAAATTATTATTTAAGAATAGCAGTAGACAGGATTGTTTGGTAATAATACAAATGTTGAAATATATTTCTCTTATGTGTAAAAAGTTATTTTTATGTTGAATTCTTAATAGTAAGTAGCAACGATAAAAATCGAGCAGTGCTATTGTTAGGAACGCGGATAAAGAACAAAGGTGAAATAAGTTCTTCGAATTAACAATGTATGTATACATTCTAGCGGTATATTGCTTTCTATATAACACACCGATGAATATGATAAGTTTTCTAAATTTATTTATATACTCCATGATTGATAACATATTTAATAAGTGAATGAGCCGACGTAGAATGTATACATAAGCATGCCAGACGAAAAGGAAGTGACATATAATTAAATATATATAAAACCATCACAACTTACTGAGGTCTTTCTCGGAACGGATGTACATAACAGGTGCATTGTCATTTTTACGCACTTGTATGATAGCATTTTTAGTCCACACATATCTGTATCTATCGCGAGCTATAGATCTTGTTTTGGAGAATAATATTTTATTGCGTAAGGTGAGATGCTCTCTTATGTAGACGGTGCGATCTGATTGTGTTATGTCACTGCCTGACCTCGAAGAAGCGTTGCTTGGTCCACCCGCAGCTATGAGTTGACCCGCTGTTAAGCCACGCCGAGCACGGGATGCAGCGATGACGTCATCCCTCAAATGCTTCGTATTAAGTTGTAATATGATATTTTTAGGTCTGTCTGTATGCGTATTATGAGCAACACGGTGTACTGCTTTAATGGATTCAGCGGGAATAACAACGCCGAGTAAGGTTCCCAGATTTGAGACTAGTTGCAATAGGTTTTCGTTTTTCCGTTCAGGAACATTCTGTATCTCAACATTGCAGAGTCGGGATTTCTGCTCATTCTCATGAAAGTTATCCTGCAGGCTCTGCAGCTGTTCCTTTAGTTTTAAATTCTCCTCAGTTAAGTTTGTAGCGGTAACTGAAAGCTCAGATATATGCGTCTCTAACATTTCACACTTGGATGTCCATGCCAGGACAGATTGTGAAAGTTTGTCGATTTTTTCATTAAGATAATTTTTCAAGTTTAATATGTCAGCTTCCCGTTCGTTCCGAAGCTCCTTAAATTTGGAATCAATATACGCAATTAAAGTATCAGTATCGATCCTTGTCGGAGATGAAATGTCCTCTGCACTGGGTGTGGGCGAGGCTGCAGTCTTTTTATATCTATTTCGCCTACAGATTAAGCACTTCCATTTAAGTCTGTTCATTGGGAGTATCTTTCTGAAATCCACTTCCTGCATACCCGCGCAATAAAAATGATATGAGTTCGAGCATGCCGCACACTTAAGTAGATCGTTCGAATTTGTAGTTTTATCACACTTATGACATTCCATTTCAATCAAAGTACTCATAGTTTCACTACCGTCGTATGTTTTCACTACATGGTCTGTCATCGATCACGAAATATATGTTTGTTTCAAAATATAAAGATAAGTAAAGTTAATGATATCCAAACAAGTCTTTGTAGAGGACCGCAGTCTTAAGAAAATTGTTATTTTCTAAACGCTATATTTGGCGAAGGCTTATTAATTTGATAGTTTGGTTTATTCATTACTATTTTTATTTTAACTTTTTTGTTGTAAATCTTTCACCGCATCCTAAAATATGTGCTATCTTTAATATGAACAATAATTATTTATTAGGAAGTGGATAGTCTTTATATGAAACAGTTTTATTTGTAACGTTCCAGGACTCGTGAGAATATATAATTCAAGATGAGGGTCGAAGCTGTTGGTGGAGCGTCTGTTAGGACGTGGTCTGCGGTCGAGAGGAAACCTTCTATGAAGAGAAGTGTATGTAGCTGATGTACGATAGTAGTGTGACGGTATGTACTGTTGAATATTTAATATTATTCTGTTATTATTTATAGTAAGGGTGAATATTGAGTTCGTTTATTCACTACTTTTATTTTTATTACTTAGTCTTGAAATGTTCGTGGAGGTTCAGGGAAGTTCTAAAAGCTGAAATAAAAAATGATTCATTTCCGGGAAAACTCTAAAATCGGCCCTTTTCTATATCCCATATGTTTCTTTGACATTAGATTTGACAACTTACTAATATGTCAATTATTCTGTTCGATTGAAACAGGAAAAATTTAATAAATATCAATACCTGGTTATTTATGACGGGATAGAGTTCGCTTGGTCAGCTATACATATATTACAGTATATAGTATGTTATTAATGATGATACTTACTAGACTGATATGTAAAGAATTGTTTTATTTGAATAATAAACTTTCAGAGTGATATGAAGTGTAATTTATTTGTGGATATTTTAAGATTAATATAAAATATTATATTTTTATTTTCAAATTGATGTAATTGTCTCTGTATGACTTTATATATGGACAATATTGTTTGTGAACAGTATTAATATATTGTATTATGTATTACAGATGGTGTTATTGAACTGTACTTGAGATTCATCCATCAGGAGATGACGGCTGATCATCAAGTGTTAGATGAAAACTAACAATGAACACAACCGGCCTAGCAGCACATCTCCAGCTTGTCTGCTACTTAGTTATTTTATATTGAATTTAGACTTGTCAAACAATATCTTTAACAGTTACTGTACAACTTTTATATATAATTTCTTTTGGATCATAATATTTTATTTAATCCAATCTACTTGATATACTTCTCTGATACGATGCAATTACTTTATTGTTATTTATAATCTGATAAAACATTGCTCATCTTAAATGTTTTATTTCTGTATGTACTAATTATGCTTATCATACCTTTTTCTCTAGAATGATTAGTTTTTAAAAGAATAGTATCTGTTATGCCAGTAGAGGGGGCTAAAAGTTTTTGTTATAATAGATTTACCTTGAGCTGTTTTCATTAATAATATTTATATAAACCGCATTTATCATAAAGAAAATTATTATTGTTAAATTGAAATGAATTATAGTTATTGTGGATGTATTTTATTGTCTTTGATTTTTATTAAGCAGTAATACTCCATATATACATCCTTCAAATGAGTTTGTTATAAACACAAAACATAATATAACATGAGTAAATATAATCTTCAAATTCAAAGTCTTAAGCTATCAATTAAATACTAAAGTGTGTGTACATGATGTGACTCATATGATGTATTATTCTGTGACTTATCTTTCATACTATTAATATTTGTATACATACAAACGTAGAAAATGTCGGATTGCTTAGAAAATTTATTAAAGGTATTTTATTTAATACATTATTATGGTTGTAGAACTGAAACATGTAAATAACAAGAATAGTATTACAAGTCGCGTCATCTGTGCCATTCTAATTGTATTATACTATAATTCTTAGAATCTATTTTGACTGATTATAAATAATAATAAATTAATGTATGTACCTGTAGATATTGCCGTGATGAAATTGTTCAAACCTGATACTTAATTTATGTTAGGTATATAGCAGTTATACAGGGTGTATGAAAAACTGTGTCAACCCTCTTAACTACGTTATCAGTATCGATAATGTAACACAATAAATCAACTTACATTTACAAACTCTTCAATAAAAATAATAAAATTAAATATTAAATGATTATTATATGTAGAGTTACAAAATGTTTGTAAACCCTGGTATAACACGATGACACGCAATGACGTCATCACAGCTGCTGTGCTACTAGTGACGACCTTGAAGTTACTTTCACATTATTGAAAATATCGATATTTAAAAAATCATAACAATAGATAAATATTTAATATTCATATTATTTCGATACTTATTTTGATATATCAAACATTAATATTATGTTTGATTGTAAAACATCATTTTTAACAGAAATAGATTAACGATTTATCCTAATAATACAACATATGTAGTTAATTTACCTGAACAAGTTTCAAATTATAATATTTATTATTAATAAAAGTTATTTTAAATGAAATTATTTTAATGTGAAAAGCATAACTATTTATACCAATATTGAAAATGTCGATAGAATATTTATCGATATAACTAATTTTTACACTTTCAAATCTCTATTCGACAACTAACAGAATAGTAATAATAACGCCGGCGGCCCGTCGCCTGCGGTCAATGGTCACGCATGCGTCGTAGCGACTATAGTACGGTGTCTTGACCTTGTATGAGTCAGATGTTTGGAACATATTTTCGAAAAATGTCGATTTAAAACTTACTTAGCCTATGCACCAGTGGCGGCTGGTGGGTTATCGAACTGGTGGTTCACTTTACTAAAATATTGACAAAAACAACAATTGACATAAAATATGTTTATTTTTTGTACATTAAATCAATGCGACGACATTTTTCTGTAGCGAAATGTTCTATCACCTTTTTATTAAAATCTGGTATTTTTTCTATAAATTTCTTTTCAATACTAAGCACAGAAAGTGCATGTAGCCGATCCTGAGACATGGTATTTCTGAGAAAAGTTTTGATTCTTTTCAGTGTCGAAAAACATCGCTCGCTCTCTACTGAAGTCATTGGTATAGTATAGATGCTCCTTCATAACTATATCCAACTCTGATACAAAGTCTGTTAATCCACGAAACACTCCAGCATTACTGGACTCAAATGCACCACAAAACTTGACACAATCGATAAGACGTGATAAAATGTATCTGTTTTTATCAACTTGTTTATTATACTTTTGGATATTACTTCTATACACAGAATCTAGCTGATTACGAATATCGACGGTGCCTAACACAGACAAACTCATTACATTTTGTAGGTGTACTTGTGAAGAATCATGTTTTTTTATTTTTTCACTTAAATGCGTCAAATCCTTGATTCCAGTTTCTGTCCAAATCGATTCTCCGCCAAAAATAATGCAAGGAAAACAAAAGAATGCATTAAGACGCTCACATCCACACAACCATTTCTTTCTATTATACATTTCACTTTTAAAACTTCGTATAAATGCTTTATTTTTCGATTTACACTCTTGTTTTAAATTTAAAAAGGGCCGTGGCGGCCCGGCCAATTTTATGTTCACTTTACTTTGAAAAATTTTGTTATTTTCTTTAATATAATCAATATTTATACTCATTTTCAACTAATAAAAAACACAGTACAGAATAAAAGTTCTATTATAGAAACGAAATAAAAACTAAAACGAATTACGGAAATAATTATAAACAATAACGAATTAACGCGTCACGCATACAGTGACAGTTGAAACAATACCAATAACGATTAACGAAATGTCAATCATAGCACCCATCTTTTCGGCCGGCCCCTTGCCGGCCGGCTCAATTCGTCATACATCGGGTGCTCTCGGTAACCTTCGGCCGCTTCGTGCGGCGCTCGAGAACCGACTCGTTACTCGGTACATTTCTATGAACTATCTTTTGTCTCACGCGCCAGGCGTATTAATGCGTGTCTCATACAAGATGTATTAGCAGTCCTCGTGCACTCGCCGGAGCGCACGATATGAGTTTAGTAAAGCGCTCAAACTTTTTGACCATAATTGGAAATTAAATTTTTTATACCTTTTTGTATGTTTAAAAAATAAATATTAAAATGGTAATTTAAAAATTAAGATGACATAATATTTTGTAATTTTTAAATATTTTGAATTGGTGGTTCAGCGCACGGGCGCACTTAAGGTACAGCCGCCACTGCTATGCACTGTAACTGACTTCTGCTTGATTTTTTTTAAGTTATACTATTTTTTATAATAAGCTTATACTTATATGTATACGTGCCTTCAAGGGTTGATACAGTTTTTCATACACCCTGTATACATAAATATTTGTTATATATTGTAAGCAATATTTGTAATTATTTATTATTAACTAAAAAAGCCTCTTAATTTAATTTGATGATGACAAGGTTTGAGTATCAGCTTGTACATATTTGTGATATAAATACTGGCTTCAGCCATTTTGTACGACATTACTAGAAGTAACAATGAACATTAAAAATCAAGACTGAAACTGTATCTTTATTGTAAGCAATATTTGTAATTA